CAGTGAGGTACACCGTCCCGCCGTAAGTCTTGATGCCGTTGCATTCACTCACTCACTCACTCACTCACTCACTCACTCACTCACTCACTCACTCACTCATTCATTCATTCATGACCGTGACTCACGTGAGAGTAGCCGGCACGCCCGCCCGCCACCTCGGCACTGTGAGGTACACCGTCCCGCCGTAAGTCTTGATCCCGTTGATACTGTTGTTGATCGGGGCGAAGGACCCGTCGTCAAGGGCGAGCTGCGTGGAACATGGGTGGGAAAAACACTCGATCGATGCAGGTACTGTATGATACTAAAGCAACTGGATTGATTTTGAAAATACACAGTAAGAAACATATTCTTATGCTTCAACAGAAGTTACAGAAGTCATGTAGAGCTCAAGTAAGTAACTTTAGTAAGTAATGTAGAGCGTATATCAATGCTTTTCTTCAAGTTAAGGCCAGCCGTCATAATGTTATTCTAGCTGCATGAAAAACTAACCTGATTTAATTTTGACCCTAGCGACAATTCCATTGGCTTGGTCCCACGAAGCTCCGGATAGCGAGACTCTCACTTACAATGACTAACGTGCAAGAAATGTAAAACATGTCCAGTGCAACTAAGATAGACATGCATTTCAACGTCTCTATCCAATTCCTTTGGAATAGGCAGGGTGGAAAATTTGCCAAGTGTGAGGAAGAAAGCAGGCATATCATTAGATACAATTTTGGCAGCTATCTAGAAAAAAAGTTTAAAACATACCTGTCTGGCATCGTCACTCCCCCAGTCGTAATCTATAGAAGTCCACTCGTAGACCAGAACAGTGTCACCGCTGATCACGTCAGCACTTCCAAACCGTCCCAGCATGCACAGGGCGGGCAGTAGAACCCATACCAATGTCCTTTGCGTGGCCGCCATCTTGATTGGTCACACGGTGTGATGTAACTGAAATTAGAATACATGTTGACAAAGCAAGGACATTTACTAGTGTATGTGCATATGTATAACCTTGGACAAAGTATTAGTCTGTGGATCTGTGGGCATATATGTATGACAACTAATAATAAATACTAGTGACAGAACACGAAGAGTGCTTAGAATATCACTTTAAAAATCACTAATACCATCAAATAGGTGCCAAGTTTAAGGTGTTTAAAGTAAACATTTCTGCTGTACCTAGTCAACACTAAGGCAAACACGGAGTGTCCTTGATCTATGTCATAGGTTGAGATCGTCTTGTAAGCTTAAACCAGTTTGACATCAAATCAGTGGTTCGCTTCAATCAATCAATATCATAAGTACCTGATCAACTGCCAACAAAACACAACCCGAACTTCACAAGTACTCAGGCCAGTAGTAGGACGTCATTGTTTGTAATCTGACGTTATAGTTCAGTGACCTCGAAGGGTCGATCCCGAAACTTCACAAATGTAAGGACTGAAGATATCGTAACGTTCTACGACTGCTAAAAAATTTCTGGGCAGCTGATTCATCATAAGGCTGACCAAGGGCATTATCATACAGATTATAATGTATAATGTCTGTATAATGGGCTGACGTACCTGTCTACTGTTCTGGTTCACGGCCCCACTAACGTTACATGGTGATCTAACAAGGACATTTCACACTAACATGACTGACCTGGAGCAAGGCACCTAAATATATATTAAGGTGTTTGGATATTGTTCCTGACAAGACATGAGAAAGTACAGATTGTTCTCACCGTTTAGAGCTCCCAGAAGATCAGTCCAAGTCGTCACTATCTATCGTACACAGACAGCCTCTAGTAACGAATCGTCACACCTGACCGGTTGGTACACTGTGGTCGTTACGTGCTGCACTACACGTAGTAAGTGAATCACTGCAGACAATAACAGGGCGTCTATCAACACGGGAAGGTCGTCCCAAACTGGTTCAACCACCTTGTAAATCTGCATAAACAATGCCGACCAGTGGATAGAAGCGCCATAAATGGTCTAAACGCTGTGAACACTAAACTCAAGTGAAAATGAGTATTGTCCCTGTCCTATTCGTTTCTATGTGTGGGACACAACACCGGCAACAGCTGCCTGTGTCCCACGTGTATTGCACTGTTGCAATTTCAATTAATCAAATCAAATATCTTTGATGTTTTGCCAAGCCACAGCACACTTTTGCTGAAGATATTTTAACACATCAACTTGGTTACTGTGCGAGAACTGGCGAATTACATTAGAATAGGTATACAAAACCCATTTACGTTACCTTTCCCTTACGTCTTACGTATGTATCAGCGACAACGCTAGTCTGTGACTATTAAAGCACGTTCGGGGAGCTTACCGGTGGAAAACCTTTGATACGACTGTCTCATAGTTTCCTAAACAGATTTTTAATCTCCAAGCAGATCCCTTTCGGTGGTAAAAAGACAGTATCAAATTGGCCAAGCAGTATCCATTAGCCAGAGAAGGTCGCCGGCCACCGACGGTGGTGGAGGTAGCGACAAAAAAACGACCATATATAAAAAGCAAACGATCATTCCCCCACAACCTCTGCTTGGAGAGTAATAGATTTTCACCATACCTTTAGTGGTTCTTGTCTGTTTTAAAGTCCAATTGTTGCATCCAGTGTCCGATGCTACCGGTATACCCGAAGCCTCGCTGAGAGTGACGCTATGTTCGAACGTCAAAGGACGCGAAACGCGATACCTGGGGTCAAAAGTTTACGATGGAGATCGGGACGCGGAATTTTGTCAAGGACGACCCAAACACGTATAGGTGACTGGTAAGAATACTTTGCAGATCTAGTGTTTCTGCCAAGGCACACAAGGGGGGGACTGCATGCGTAATCATGCCATTTTAGTCTTCGTAATCCGTAGGAAGTTGCCCCCAAAATCAACGTACGTAATTCGTAATATTACGCAGCCGCTACGCGTGATGTCGTAATCAGGTCTACGTCTGAGAATTCGACGTAATTCATAATCGGCGGCGAGAATTTCGCGTAATTCGTAATCACTACTCCCCCATGGAGGCCCTCACACAACTGCAAATCCAGTTGGGAAAGGTTGAGAAATGACGTCTATTGTTGCCATAACAGTTGGGATTGGGCAGAGCACATCAAAGGAAGAAAAGAAACGCATCGTAAACAAGAGGGCGGAAACATAAAAACGTGGGAATTTCTTAACTACGCCTTTCCTCGCAGTGCCTACTTAACATGCATGTCACTTACATTGTTGGGAACAGCTTTCAAGGACGATATTTTCGGTGCATTAGACCACAATAAGCGACAAGAATTCGCAGATCTCAAACCTCCTCAAACCATGATTTTTACAAGTCACGGCTTTTTAGGAGGGGTTGAACATCTCTCAAACATCTAAAAGGGCTCCATTTTCCTAGACTACTACATTGTACTAATGCAACGCACGCACGACGCACACACTCACGCACACTCACACACGCGCACGCACACACACACATACACACACACACATACACACACATACGCGCACACACACACACACATATACACACACAAACATACACACAGACATACATACACACACACACACACACATGCATACACACACACACACACACACATGCATACACACAGACATACCAAAAACAATACCTTCATGCAGGTACTAGTAATACGAAGAAGACATTCGGCAACATACAGTACATTTATTCTAGTTCACAAGCATGATATACATTAGATATGATCCACATTTTACATCAATTAACTTCGTACGAACGGTACAATAAATAAAATCTTCGGTATACAAATAGTTTTTGGCACAAGCACAACAACGTTAACCTTTCTCTATACATATACATATACACAACCCATTGGATGTCTTTACACATTCTCTGGTGTTCACTGGTTTATTGAGAGTGATTCGTTACTTATTCCCGAAACAAAAACGTCCAAATATTGAATAAATTGAAGCAGAATCGGTGTTTTTTATTAACTGTTGGCTTTGGTAAAGATAGTCAGTCGTACTAGAATAGATAAATCTTAAGCAACCCATCGAAGTAAATGGTCTAGATTTATCACATACAGTTGGCTTTGGTACTTAAAGGTATCAGTATTCAGTGATCATGTTATAGCAAGAATGGTGCTTCGGGTATGGCATTGGAATAAAGGTCTTGAATGTAAAAACACATTTTTCTGAACACAGCGAAGAGCGACATCTACTGGAATGATTGTGTACTGCAAGCAACAACTATCCACATACTAAAGAGTTCTACATTGAGTGGAACCACGTGAAACCAGAGCCACCATACACGTTACTAGTATATTCTGGTGAATACCAAATATATATAGCCAAAGACTTGGATAAAACGAGGTATTTCATTCAATTATAGTCACAAGTCTGATCATATTGGGTCAAGTCTTCTAGGTTTGATGGGTCTTTTGAAAATATTCACACTTTCCAAAGGGAGGAGAACTGGTAGAATTTCTCTAACCATGTCTTTCCATTTCCATATTCGACGGATATTTTCACTATAATATATAAGATATGGAGCTTCCTTGCACTCAACTATGTTGAACTTCGCTCAGTTGATAACGTTTCGTAAGTCTGTCTGATACTTTCCTCAGACTTTTGGAAATGTTGTATGGTAGTATAATATTAGAAGAATTTGGTTGTGTGCAATTAAACTCCAACATCTTCTGATCCATCAACCTGATGAAACTATTCGCGGTCTCTTCCATGTTTCACTTTTTTGGCAACGCCTCAGGGACGGAGGTATTTTCTCCATTCTAACACCAAGCGCCTAGCTATACAAAGAAACTCATAACGCTATGGCTGTCTTCTTCATGGACCTCGCTGTCTCTACTCGACTCCACGTCCGCCTCTGATTGGACGGAGCTCTCGTAGTCAGTTCTGTCTGACGTCAAGTCCGTGACGTCAGAGATGACGTCAGAGCCGTGAGAAGAGAGTTTCAGGGTGCGAGGTACGATGGAGGGTCTGGGGGCCGGTACCGGCTTCTGCGGCGGTGGTCTCTGGACTTGTGTCGTCGTCTTTAGGACCGATATTCTGGGGACTTTGATGCTCCCGCTTGAGGAACGGGGGGTCGAGTTGGGGGTTGTGTGGGAGCTGGACAGCGGGGATGTGAAGGGGGATAGCGGTATACCTTGCAGGCTGGCGGCGGGGGAAGCGCAGGGGCTCTGAGAGGGGGTTCCGTTTGAGCTAGCGCTAGTGTACGGGCTGCCATAGTAAGGACTCGGTACTCCGTGTACTTTCCTTCTCGGCACTTCTAGAAGGATTTTGTTGCCTTCGTAGTCCGTGGTCTGCCACCTGACGTCACTGATGGGGCTGCACACGTTGGGCAGCAGGGGCACCAGCTGCCCGATCTCCTTGACCCGAAACTGCATGATGGCGGATTCGACGTGCTTGGGCTTTGTGTTGTCCGGCAGCATTTTCAGCGCGAACTGTACGTCCAATCCTGGCTGGGAATACACCACGAAGCAGCAGAAATCCGTCTTCCTCACGTCCATGTCCTTGCGGAGGATCATCTTGTAGAAGCTGATCATGTCCTCCCAGTTCCCGCGCGAACAGAACAGCACGAATCGAACGTGTTCGGTCCCATAATGCACCTGGCGCGCGGCCCACAGGGGCATGTCCTCCGCGAAGGTGAAGAAGTCTTGGTTGTTTGGAGGGTAAGGAACGACGTTTCCAGAAGGCATGGCCTTGTGGTGGAACCTCCATGGAGGCTTCTTGAAACACTCGTGCACTTGTGAAATCTTATCCCTTGCTAGTTCTTCGTGGTAGAACAACATAATGGCTAGGGAGGGGTAGTTTGGCGTATCGTGGTTGTTGTGGCCGTTGACGCCATTTTGGAGGGCCGATGACCCCCTGCGTTTCTTGCGCCCCCTTTCGGCGATGCAGAATAACTGCAGGTCGGCGTCGAACCAGTCCAGGAGGGGTTGTAAGGTCCTGCGCGTGCGCGTGTTCTCGCCGGGGTCCACGATGAAGTGGATGGTGATTTTGTAGGGATCGCCGGAACTTTCCACGTCCCACATCTCATCGCCCGTACCTATAGGAGGAAACACAAGGGAATGTTACATAATTTTAGAAATACCATATCATAGGTCTTGTGTATTTATTTTTTATTTATTTTATTTATTACACTTAACCACATACATAATATACATGGAGGGCATGGTGGAACAGGTGCACCTAAGTGCACCTTTTCAAGGCCACCATGCCCACAAAGTATGGGATAGTCTTAGGCATCCCCCTACCCCCCCCAAAAAAAACACCCACCCTCAGCACGTTAAGAACCCAGCACACTAATGGATAAGAATAGGGGTAACTCGAAGACTCTTGTATCCAAAACTGTGCTTTATCCAGAAACCTTGCTCAGGCACGGTTCTGGATAGTTCACGCGTATCCAGAAGCGTGCATGGGAGAAAGTCTACGTTCTTGGATACACGGAGACTATCCAGGACCGTGCCTGATCCCAACCCTAACCCATTCAAGCATACAAGTCAAGTCAAGTCAAAGTTTATTGCACAACTAATGTACGGATACATCGTATGGCAATTAGGGGTACTAAGTACAAATCTAAAATCTAAACTAATGCGTAAAAGAGTACTACATTCATGCTGTATATGAATCGAACTTAAGTTACATCGAACCAGATAGGTACCTATAGGTATGCCAAACTGTGATTACAAATACAAGACATGTTTACCAGGCAAGTTAAACAACCATCATGGCAGACAATTATCATGCCATACTATAGTCACGTGGGTGCTAACACGTATATACATATTAACTCTACCAACTTGTTACCTGCATTATCTAGTAATTCTGTTTTTATGCACACCCAGTTTTTATACACACCACAATTTGTTGTTAGCTACACAAACAAGTAAAGTGCGCCTTTTCAACCTCCTTTCTCACGCCCTAGGGAGCCTTTTGTGCGAGATATTTTTGTTCCGCGCTAGGTCAACTTCATTACAAAGGTTCTAACCAAAACATACGCGCATTTTTAGAAAGCTTGGCTGTCAATAAACCTTAAAGGAAAGTCTTTGATGTCTTTTGAAAGCTGTATAACTCATTTACTGCACTCTATTATGCAAGGCCTCGAAAACATTTTTGCCATGTCTCGCCCCTCCACCTAAATTTTAACCTGGCAGCACAAAAAAGGTGACTAAAATGAAGGATAATTTGTAAAACACGCAAATACTTTACTTATAAGTTTACGTATTATTATACACCTAGCCTATCCTCCGTAGCAGGCTTATAGAACTGGGGGTTTGGTGGTCTTCGGCTGTTTTCTGATTAGCCCAGGCCGGCTATGTTGTCTATATGCAATCATAAAATAGCACATAAAAGCTCCCAAAGACCCTGAAGACCCCAAAACCTCCAGTTTTTGGCGTGCTATGGAGGCTAACATATGCCAAGCTTTGTCTCGTTTGCAATACCCTGGTTCACAGTCAGAATCGTAATGAAGTTTGCATGTATTACGCATGAACGCTCACACATGTATAAGTAATGTTGTCTGTTTTATAATTCAGTTGGCGCCGGTGCCATATGGGATTACCAGTACTGTATAGGTGGCCATAAAAGCTGTAGTCTAGACTAAATTATGACTAAGACTGAGCACTTTACAATACAGTACACGTTGTATGCGATTCATTGTCACTGACATTGTACATTTTGAGTCCACTGCCACTTTGCTATCTTAGTTTTTAGGTTAATACAAAGCAGTGATATTTTCAATATTTTGATTCATAATTTTTCTTAGATAATCTTTACATATTTGTTAGCTGTCAGACATTTTCTTCGCTTTTTATCAGACGGCAAAGCTAATAGTGGTTATATTCGAAGTCTGTTGCTACTGAGGACTACAAATTATGAAAAGGAGAGAAACCAACAGTGCCTTGTTGCATTTCTATTATATCTGTATTCTAGTTATGAATGATATATATATCGTATGTATGACTGCTATTTTGTAGTCACCCTGTCACTTATGTGATTCTACAAATTAATATACGATATATGTATAGTACCAGAGGAAGAATAGCTGATACAAATTAATATACGATATATGTATAGGACCAGAGGAAGAATAGCTGATACAAATTAATATACGATATATGTATAGGACCAGAGGAAGAATAGCTGAAGTGTCAAGCTAAATTTGGCTCCAACTAAAGTCAAAGTATTGTCTAACTAATCGCCTGTGACAGTCCAGCCACAGCGGGACGTAATGAAGCCTTACAGTAACACCTTCCTGTAATGTTAGAAGCCATTACCAACACGCGAGGGGGGCCGGCAACGGTGTCCATTAGGCTAGATGTATTTTTTATGGTGATGGACGAGATTCAAGGCTATTCTGGACATCAGTTGCTGTATTTTTTACTGAACCATGCTTAGGCATGGTTCTGGATAGTCTACATGTATCCAGAACCGTAATCTCCAAGCAGATCCCTCTCGGTGGCAAAAAGACAGTATCAAATTGGCCAGGCAGTATCCATTAGCCAGAGAAGCTCCGCGGCCACCAAAAAAAAAAAAAAACAGCCATATAAGACTATATAAGACTACGGTTTCCATTAGGCTAGATGTATTTTTTATGGTGATGGACGAGATTCTAGGCTATCCTGGACATCAGATGTTGCATCCAGAACCGTGTTTTATCCAGAACCATGCCCGAGCACGGTTCTAGATAGTCTACGCGTATCCAGGACAGTGTCTGGGGGTAAATGTACGTTATTGGATACCCGGATCCACGGAAACTATCCAGAACTGTGCTTAGTTGATCTTAGCCCGTTCAGGCATAGGACTAGATATGCACGTATGCTTCTACAGCCGCATCGCTAACTAAGACCTCACAATTATTTTACCTACCTGAAACATTTAAGAGTTACTGGCTATGTTGGCCATAGGTCTGTAGGAGCTTACAGTGACCGTTGGATGAGCCCAAATGAAACCCAAGAAGACTAGGCTAATTCAAGGCTATATCACCATTGTTGAATTCGGAAAATAGCGTGTGTTGTATTGTTAACATCTTCACAAGTACATGTATAACGTATGTCACCAATGCCATATTTGCGTCAAATCAAGTTTTGTCTTCTGACATATCTCATCTGACAAATTATCGCCTTAATGTCCAACGTATTCAGGATGACAATTTACTTCTTCACCACCATATCAATACTATTATTTCTTAAAGTTGAAAGTAGGTATTAAATGGTGAAACACTCATAAATCCTCTCTCTTAGATTCAACCAAAATGCCACTTTAAAATTTTTCTTCTCGAAATGACAAGCTACTTTTTTTATGTATTCATGCCATCATTTCGTGAAGCGAAACTAAGAATTACATCTTTGATATCAAAGCGTTCCTCATGCAATCTTATCTCTTTTAGATCAAGCCAAAATGTCATTGATGTCTTCTATCAGACAATATTTCATCAAATTTTCACTAATCCTCTTACCAGTGACCTTCTGTCTTGAAGGTCAAATAAAACAATTTCCTCGTCAATCTTAATGCGATTGCTTCTCTTTATGTATCATCTATGCTTCATTACACACGATTTCAATTTTTCATGCTTTAATTCATTTCTGAGTACGTTATTCTATTACAAGCTTGTAAATCGGTCTAAGTGACTTTCTCGAGTTACATTTATTCGTTTATCTACCTTGAAGTATTGGGTTTGATCCTAATTCTTCTATTCAGCGCGCGCTGACACAAGCTTTATCAAACTCCGCGATCGTGCGATCTCTTTTGTGTAAACGCTGGGGTCATGGTCTCTTGTTCATACATAATATAAACCTATGGAGCGATATACGCGTACTGAGGCATGGGAATGTACTTGTAATGCAAACTTGTCTCCAAGCAGATGTTTGGGGTATTTTTTCACGGGCTTCCTATACATACAGGACTTACATTGGTATGGGATAGACTAATGTCGAAAGCTGTTAATGCAATGAATGACAAAGTTGCAATGAGGCCAGAATTTATTTGTACTTCATTCATTGTGTCAAAAAATTAAAAGATATCTGGGGTATATTCTAAAGATGCGTCAATAAGGGTTGGACATCCAGGTAATAAGATACACCAGAAAACAGATACTCAGTTCAGTTCAGTTCATATACTCAAGCAACTGGATATGATTTTGAAAAATCATATCCAGTTACGTGAGTAACTGTTTTGGGCGTATTTTCAAGATGCACTGACAACGTTTTGGCATGGGATAGAACAATATATACAACTGTAGCTAAACAAAATGTACTGCAGGATTAGAAGACCGTACTTACTCTCAGTACTTGAGGACACAGACGACATCTTGCCGTTGACGGATCCGCCCCTGGACAGGAAATAAAAGAAAACAGTTGGTAAGCTGTGATTACAGACAAACGTAACAATAACAACAGGATTGTGTGACGTTTACGTGAAGGTAGTTAAGAGGATCTCACGACACATTCCTCACTCCCCCAGGTGCAAAATGGGTACCTGACTTCATTTGGGAAGGTAAAAGACAATGGAAGGAGAGGGATGGGCTCCACCCTCCAATACCGCGCTCTATCGCTAGACACGGTGGACTAACAATCCACTGCCCCTATGGCCTGAAAAAGGCTACGGAACTTTTCGTTGCCTCTTAAGTCAAGAGGATGAATTGTTGATTGTTACATATTGTTGGTTTAGAGAACCCATCACATTTATCAGCAAGAGAATATGGAATACGCTAGCTAACACACAGGCACAGAAAATACACCCCCCCCCTCCCAAAGGCTATGTCCTTTGGCATACCATTCAGTCTACTTCGCCGGCAATGTCTACTCTTTTCCAGCTACACATATATATTGGAGTCTTTTTGAGACTACAACAACACCTAACCTCTGTCAGAGTTGATTAGTATGTATGACACAACCCCCAAACATAAACTCGGAAAAAGGGGATCGCGAATAGGATCAGAGTAACCTCCGAAATAAGAAGATTTAGAGCTGGCGAGGTGTAAACTCCTTTTCATGTTACAGAGACACGGCCGTGTTCTAATGTTTGGGAGGATTTAGGAGGTGAGACGGTGAGAGTGGGGGGTGATCAGGGACCAAGTCTACTATCATATGTACCCGCACGCACACACAAGCCGGGACCCTCTCTGTTTACGCAGTCTGGAACTTACAGGGTGAAGGTAGTAAACAAACTTTTGGGAGACGACTACAACCAACTGTCGATAAAGCAGTTAGCTTGCTAGTGACAAGGGGAAGTGGAGGGCTCTTGCAGCCGACCGATGATGATAATGATGATGGTTAACAAGATGGGGTCAGTTTAGACAAGGATAGGTAATGTAAAGAAAGTCGTAGAGTGGAACTCGCTAAAACGATATTGTACAGAAAATTGAGCTTTGAATGCTAAATTACATGGTGGGTTATACCGGCTATTGATACAGCCATACAGGTATAGATACACATTTCCACTACAATATGAGCTCCACAGAAGCTTACTGGTGGTAATGACACTATCAGAAGGGAGTGCTCAGGTATAAAGATACAACAGGGTTTTTTTTTATTAACAGGGGAATAAGGTTCCCTCATGTAACCAACCAGCTCCCTCATACCAATTTTCAGATTGAACCCTAAGTGGCTACTCTTATTAATCCCCCCTTGGTCGCTTCGTTCCTTGTCATGCTTGCGATCTGCTCCCTCATGCTAAATTTTTCTAGAAAAAAACCCTGTACAGGTACGTGATCATGAAAATACGATGCTAAAGTTGTAGATTACATAACAGAAATAAATACAGTACAACACCATATGATAGAAACTTGTAGGAGCCTCACAGACGTAATTTGGAATACAGGTACTACATATTTTCACTGCAAAATCAGCCTTACCCTTCCCAGATATTGAGTCCCGCTGTTTCTGTAGCTACCTTGGCAATCTCTGAACCACTAACACAGATGGACATGTGCTATTTCCGGACAGATTTGACAGAGATGAGCTCCACAGCAGATTACCGGTAGTAATGACGCTATCAGCTCGGGAGCGCGCGGGTAATGTGAGAGAAAATTGGCCCAATTTTCTGTGACCTTCGTGATGATGAGGTACTTTGGGAGATGGTGTAATCACAGCTCAGGGCTAAAACTGGTACTCTACGTGCAGAGGTTTGGGGGTTTTGTGCAAAGAAGAAAGCCTGAGTAAAAAGCATTAAAAACACGCCAAAAATACGCCAGAGCCTTCATAAAACGGTAAATCCGTACGTACTTTAATATGACTTCTCCATCTAATTTGATATTCTCCGTTAAGTCATATATATCAGGGGAAAGAGGTATACATTGAGAATATTTCAGTATTACGTATTGTCATAATCACTAGATATTGCTACGACTTAATGAGAGGAAATGGGTATGGAGATCACATTTAAAAATCAATCACATGTGAATATATCAAAGTGTGAACATTAAAACTGTATTATTCAATCATAAGGCTTATGTACTGAGAGACTGAGCATATTTTCACTGTAACTGATATTAAAAACGCACGTGTCTGTCCCAATTTTAAATTCAATGCTGTTTTATAAATTATTGTGAATTTGAGTTTTGATCAATACATATCCCATCGACACAGCTTTATGCCAGCTACTGGGACCTAACGCCCTGTGTTTGACCTTTTGTGGTATGTGGTTACAGGATTCCCCCACCCACGCGTTGTCACCCAACTGTATGAACTCACTGAAGCAAACCCACACATACATACAAACACACACAAACACACCCCAAACAATATTTCCGTAAATAGAGGTAAAGTTCTCTGCAACTATAAATTCAATATGATGACAGATATAAAGATACCATAAAACAAGAAAAAGCAAGCTGGTGTCATTGACACGTAAAACCCTTGCTATTATGTACCTTCAAGAGCAACTTGAAATGCAAGGCTGTACACCTTTGCTCTGAATTCAAGAGCAAGTTAGAATACAGGACCTGAGGGTAAAAGATAATGAGATTTTTCCTACCCCGTGTGAGCATGATCGGAAAGGAGATAGGGGAAGGGGGGTCAGGGGTCATCGAACGCATTGTTCTTTCGAAGCTCCCAGGGTTCAACACGTCATGAAAATATCCGCGCAATTTTTCTCCTGTGCACTGAACTGTCCGGAAGGGTTTGTTACTCTTCAGTAGTGTGTGCATTTGCACGGATCGGGAGGAAATGCTCTTATAGTACATTGACACGTGTAGTAATATTTACTACTGTCAACTGTAGATTCTACCAGGCTTCAGAAGCGACTGGAAAGAGTTGACACTGGTCAGATAGACAGATGACATACCAGGGGAATTGGTTCGCTAAAGACGTACACACATTTTACGGGTTTTTACTCTTTCCGGTCTCTTCTGAAGCCTGATAAAGGCTACTCTGCTAGCACAATGGCAATGGCAGGTGCATTAATATTTACTTTAGTCAAATTTTCCCAAGAAGACCACTCAGGGAACCAATAGAATCTGTGGACAGGTGCTCACTATAGCATTTCTTGAAGCTGGTGTGTTACGACGAGGGGCGGTTTACTGGTTATACAGATACAGATACAAGTGGTCACATTGGCCAGGTGGTCCTTAAGAAGATGCAGTTTTGATTGCACTTTTACTACTTAATTTCAGCCTAGAAAGGAACGAAAATCTTCACTTGAAAGTCCTTACGTATTTGTGGTGAAACTATTTCACCACTTTGTAATGGCTCTAACGTCTACCCTTTGCTTGCTTGCGTGAACACAAAGGAAACATTACACTGTCTGGTATTTCAGATTTCTGTGCTAGTATGAGAGACAATCCACTAAGAGATTTTAAAAAAATCTCACGGTGCACAAACAAAGTCATCCTAGCAGGTAAAAATCAACACAGAACGAAAGTTATGAAAGCCGTGAAAGTTTTCAGCGAAAGTCATGGCTTTACGATTATATCATGTATGTGATAAAATTAAAAGACAAACCTCAAAGGGTTTTGTAGACGTAGACCCAACTTCCACTCTTGCCTAGCTTGAAGCTTGCGTTGTATGTGTCTTTCAAACACTTCAGAATCTGTGGCACTACAGAAATGTTAGACTGTCTTGTCTGAGGTTCTCTCTGAGAGCTAGAATGTGGGACAGCCAATCGTTTTAAAAAGAGAAATCGTCTCACAGATACACCAAAACAAAGAAAGATATCCCGGGGCGACGCAACAAATCGTAATCCGCGAAAGATCTCCGGAATTATTTAGTAATTCGTCAGATAATCCTTTGTCCCTTATCATAACAAGTTAGGCAATCCTGCCTACTTATGTCCAACAATGGAAGAAACAGGTGTACAACATTGTAGCCATAGTTACATCTCGTTGTATTTAGAAACGCGCGAACCGAAAAATTATATGAATTGTGCTTTTCAGGTAATTGCCTGACGAAACGAAAATCCCCGTGCGAATATTTCTAATTAGGTCATGAACCGAGAACCAAGAGACATCTTCATAACACCATAACTGTCTCAAAATTAGATTCAGGAAGAGAACATTTTGTATTTTCATAAAATTGTATTATGAAGGGGGGGCGAAAGTCGTTCTTGGCCAATGTTACATTATACATGTACAAACATTGACTCAAAGTCAACATGGGAAATTCGTAATGGTTATCTAGTGACTGAGAAGAAAAGAGGTTGCTCAAAAAGACCCCTGGCCCAAATTATCCATTTGCATTTCATACATTCAGGTCAGAACATTGAAACGTGGATGATCAACCCATATACGTGTAATTAGTGTGAAAAACTCGACTCATGATGGTTTCATTATCCCTCTAATTGTGTGGAAATAATTCAGAGAACCGACAAACATTGCTCACCATACGAACACCTAATTAACACTCAATATATGTAAACAAAACCTGGAAAATTTCATGACTAAACTTACTGTCAGAAAACTGAGCCATGGAAAGACGAAACCATGAAATAATGGTTTCATTATCTCTCTAATTGCGTGGAAATAATCCGAAGAACGGACGAACCTTGCTCGCATACGAAGTCCTGTTTAAGACTTAATACATGAACACAAAACAGCTACCATTTCATGACTTAGGTCCTGGTCATATATAGAATATAGAACATGCTCGTCCTACGATCGCAAACTGAGGGTATTCTTTAGCCTGGGTACCAAACCCATAGCACACTGGACAAAGTATCTCAGTGCTCACTGAGATACTTTGTGTCTAGTGTGCTATGGGTTTGGTACCCAGGCTAAAGAATACCCTCAGTTTGCGATCGTAGGAGTAGGTATTCTTGGGATAGTGGTACATATGTCCTGTGAAATTCAGCTGTCTCGATACGGAAAATGCTACCCTAGAGCCTTGCCAGTG